CCGACAGAAGAGTTATGCAGACAGACGCCGGTCCGAGCTTGAGTTTCAGGTCGGCGACCTTGTACTCCTGAAGGTCTCTCCTTGGAAAGGAGTGATTCGATTCAGGAAGAGGGGCAAGTTGGGGCCCCGATATATTGGTCCTTTCCGGGTGATCGTGAGGGTAGGCCGGGTAGCCTATCGTTTGAATTTGCCAGCAGAGTTGGGGCAGATTCACGACACTTTTCATGTGTCGCAGCTGAGGAAGTGTATTGCCGACGAATCGGCAGTGGTTCCATTAGAGGATATTCAGGTTGATGTGAGCCTGAATTATGCCGAGAGACCAGTGGCCATCAGAGATCGGAAGATCAAAGTTCTGAGGAACAAGGAGGTACCCCTGGTGTTGGTTTAGTGGCAGCATCGGAGGGGATCAGAGATGACTCGGGAGCCGGAGCGTGAGATGCGTGAGCAGCATCCGGAGCTATTTGTAGAGCGAGACTTCGAGGGCAAAGTCTAGTTCTAGTGGGGGAGAATTGTAACAGCCCGAATTTCCACGTATGTTTTATTCATATATTTTTTTTGGTGTTTTGTGAGGGGACTCGGCGAGTTGGAGCTTAAACTCGCCGAGTAGGATCGCGGTTCTGGACGCAGGTTCGCGCCTGGACTCGGCGAGTCCAAGGAATGGACTCGGCAAGTCCGCGCTGTTTAATGAAACCCTAATTTCCCGGTCCTAAGCCCTATTTAAAGGACCTTATGGCCCTTCATTGCGGCTACCTTGATCCTTGAGAGCACCAAAGCAACTAAGGGTTCCTGTGAGTGAGATAAGAGGCCATTGTTCACCAAATTTGTGTGTATTTGCAAGAAAGGAAGGGGAAAGTCAAGCTAGAAGAGTTGGGGAGCTTGGATCTACTTCCATTTCGCCAGGGGAAGCTTCTTGAGGTATCATTCAGAGCTTATTTCCGTATTTTTGTTGATATGGTCAAATCTAGGGTTTCTTCTTGCCTTGTTTGCTTTGTAATTGAAGTGTGAGAGGTCCCATGGGGATATGGTACCTAGATCTGGACCTTAGCAGGTCCAGAAAGTCCCTAATGCTATGCTTTATGTCCTTCTTTTGGGTTGGAGACTAGGGTTGCCATCTTAGAGGTCATTTCTCCAAAAAGAGCCTTGTAGGTGTTGCATGGTAGCCAAGACTGTGACTTTACGTGATGAATGAGCTTAGGAGGGCCAGATCTATAAGTGGATGGAGCGGATCTGACCTCAGAAGCGAGATTTAGTTGATGCATGGCATAGACTCGCCGAGTCTGAAGAACAGACTCGGCGAGTAGCATGAAGATTTCCTTAACCACTCAGTGAGTGGTCCTGCCGAGTTATGGTTGACTCAGTGAGTTATGGAGAGTTAGAGAGGGTTGACAGGTGGACTGAGTCGAGCTGGAACTCACCGAGTTGTTCTTGTGACTCGGCGAGTTGAGTCGTGGTGGCCCCGCGATTCATGCCAGGTGGAACTCGTCGAGTCAGGGGAGTACTCAACGTGTCAAAGGAGAATCCTAGAGAGTTGGTGAGAACGCTTAGACTCGCCGAGTCGCTCTAGTGCACTCGCCGAGTCCGGTCAAGTTGACCGTTGACCATATTTGACCAGTGTTGACTTGATAGGGGTAGTCAACCTTAGTGGTAAAGGTATTAATTAGAGATATATGCTGTTATAGGAGGATTATAGCTCGGGGGATCGAGCACGAGTGATTTCCAGGATTCGCGAGTTATCGAGATATTCGAGGTGAGTCTTCTCACTATACTGTACCCGGAAGGGTTTGACTGTGTGATCGGAAGGTCGAATATGATATGAGATATATGTATTATGTGTGATAAGTTAATCGTTATATGTGTCATGTATGATATGCTTGATATGGGCCGGAAGGCATTATGCTATGGGCCGGAAGGCGAATATGTTATGGGTCGGAAGGCGTTGTAATATGAACCGTAAGGTTGACGTGGGTAGGACCGGAAGGTTTACCCAGTCGGGACGGAAGTCCCCTGAGACACATGGACCGGAAGGTCAGGGCCTGGAAAGGCGTATGTGCGTAGATTGTATTTTTGGGAACTCACTAAGCAATTATGCTTACAGTTGTTGTGTTATGTGTTTCAGGTACTAGCGAGGACCGTGGGAAGGCGCCGACATGATCGTACACATTATCGGAAAAAACTATTTTATGATCTTTGTGATGTATTCGGTTGTGACAATATTGTTTACGTTGAATTTAAAATATTAATCGATGTTTTGATGTTTGCAAAAATGAAAAATTGGTTTTAAAATTTACGTCGTTACACATGAAAAGATGCATAAGTCCGAGAATGACCTGAATTTGACAGTTGTCACACATTGGGATCATTCGTGTAATTTACTCAAAAATATATTATAGTTGACTAAGTACATATTTAGATATTATATTTGATGAAACTTTCAAGTTTATTAGAAAATAATTTAGTAAATTTATAAATGATTAAAGATATATATTAAAAAATAAATAATATACATAAATAACTAGTAAATTGTTATTCAGTATTTTTGTACTATTTGGTTTTTTATTTTATAAACGAAAATTAATCCGACATCCAAAATAATAATTCGGTTTTGCTAAAATTGATCCAAAAATCCAAATTTCGAATGAAATAGTTTAATCCAAATTATCAGATTGTCCAATTAAGTTTTATCCAAATAGTGATCGACCCTACATGAAACCTTTATATAGTAAACTAATATCTTAAAAAGTTTTATATTAACTCCATTATTATGCTAACTATTTTATCCACATCATATGATGATATGGATAAAATTGTTGCTGGAAGGGACGACATATATTGATCATCAAGAGATTGTGGCAACATAATTTTTTTTTAAATCAAGATCGGTTGTTTGACTTGTCAAAAAAATCCACATGGGACACTAACGACCGGGTCATGGAAAAATTTGACAATGTTAGTATATTTTTACTAGAATATTTTGAATTATAACACTTACCATATACTAACAAGGTTTTTAATAGGTATATTTGTAATCAGTATCCCTAAATCACATTGGATGTTGTAGTAAGTCAAATACTTCAAAAGTTTAAAACAAAGATTCAAATGGTTTGAACGCAACGTGGACTTGTTATTAGATATTATATATTATTATATGTATAGAGCTTCGTTTTGTGTAGCTATAGTGGAATGAGGTTCAAGGGAGACAAGGGAAGACATTGGAAGATCGTGGCATTTTTGTATGTATGTGCCTCCAGTATTTAGTTATCGACTCTCCATTAGTGGATGACAAAGTAGAAAAAGTCACACTAGAGGCCATATGTATGGTCTTTCATAAGCATATGGCTAGAAAAATTTAGGGATCTCGGGTGCCTATAGATGATGATTAGAGTGTACTAATTGATACTATCTTGGATAGTTATTCTTTTTGTAATTAACATATAGTTTGTGGTATGATGTGTGTTGTATGTTTCTTATTGTATGCAACAAAAATATGTTCTTAGATATAAAAGTTATATATTACTTACATGATTAAAGGGGTGTTTGAGATTTTTTTCTAAACAATTTATTGAGTTATTGAATTTTTTAAAAGTCAATAAGTAAAAAACAAGTGTTTTTTCAACCTCAAAACCACTTTTCAATATAGCTTTTTCATTGGCTTATAAAGGAGATTTTTAAAAACATGTAAAATTTGACTTTTTGAAACATGTTTTAACTTTTTAACCATAATATCTTTAAAAATGAGATTTTAAACCAAACATTTTTTAATTTATTGACTTATTGACTTTTGCCACTACCATACGATCAATAAACATTTTTGTCCAAAAACACTTGTGAAATTTCAAAAGTAATCCATGCATCCACTAAATAAAAAAGGTTAAACAGTAGAAAAATTATACCGGTTAAATATCCCACCAAACTGGGTTTTAAATCTCAACTAACTTCTCACCTACCTTCCACCCATCACTCCTTCCCACCATTATATAAGCATGCTAAATATAATTACTTTTTCAACACCACCTTTCTCCTTACTCAACAATGTGTGACTGGTCAAAAATCTCAAATATGTGTAAGCGTTCAGGTTCAAGCTCCTCCACTCTACCCCTTGGGTGATGATGTCCAAAGAGATGAAGACTATGATGCAAGCACGAGAAGCAGATGTTGAAAAGTTGTGCGAGGACAACCACAACACAATAAAAAGAAAGAGATGATACTCTTGAACAAGTTGAAGAGAAGAATGAATGGTTACAAAAACAAAGAGAGAAATCAGTCAAATTGAAAATTATCCATCTTGGTTAGTCAAATCCACATTGCCTGCCAATCTTCAAACATCTGTTTTCCTTGACATTCATGAAAAAGAAGTTGGACCAACAGATGAAAAACAATATTCTCATATGAGTATCCAGAATTCCAGAGAGAAAAATTAGATTACTAATTACGTTACTGTTCCTATGTATTGTTGTATTTCCTTATCGTTTCAATTTAAGTATTATTTTTTATCTTAAAGACACTATTTTGAAAATGTTTTCAATCTCTGGTTTAACTATCTATATAAATAATGAAAATAAATAATATATAATTATTTTGAAAATGTGATAGCTTGAAAATACTTAAATTTCAAACTACTAGAGATACATAAAAGCACAAACCATTTTTCCTCGAAACATACAAAATTTCAAAATCTTGGTCATTTGATTAAAATCAAATAAAGGTGGTTAGTAGGTTTTTTAAAATACAAAGAAATGGTCAGTGGCATCAACATCTTAGATATGTAACTAAAAAAAATATAGAAGTAACATTGACATTTTCATGCATCTGTGACTCATTGTCATATAAAAAATTTCATATTTGTTCTAGAAAGATTATTACAACATTTTGTTACTAGGCTTGGTTTCATAGATACATCAACATATGATAGTTACAAAATTTAAAGACTTTAGAATGATATAACATTACTCCTATATAATAGGGATAAGTGCAAAAAATATCTTCATTTTTCATTTATTTGTGTATTATAGCATCCTACTTTCATTTCTTTCTATTACAACATTGCCCTTTCAGTTTTTTCTTATTACAGCTTTGCACTTTAAATTTTTACCCAATTGTGGCATTGTACTTCCAAATTCTTTTCTCTTATTAAGACATCATATTTTAAAAAAGTTACCAAATTATAGCAGTGTAAATTACTGTGGATTTGGATGAGAATTGCTATAATTGGTAGATTTTTCAAAGTATAATGCGTAATAGAAGAAAAAATACAGAAATCAAGGAAAGTATGTTGCCATTTTTGCATATCACCCTACAAAATATAATGGATACAGGGAAAGATAGCTATACATTTTTCCTCAATTTAAAAAAAAAAATGATATGTGTTACTTGATAGATAGATATAGCAAGTTAGAAGAGCTCTGCTAATTGTGGGAATTGTTGGAGCAGCCATGTCACCCCTCTAATGGCAACCTGCATAAGATATATCAACATATTTGCTACTTGATTTATTTTACATTTTAAAGCTGACGTTTTTCTTATTTTCTTTTTATAACACAAACTTTTTAAATTAATAGTAGTTTGTTGGTGTCGACTAAAAGTAGTTCGTTTTGATTTTTATAACAGTTAATAAAATGCAATTTTTTTTTATTAAGCTTTAATTTTCGAGAGAAGGGTAAAATGGTCATTTCCTGAGGTGTAAATATAATATATAAGAAGGGAAAGAAAATGACTAACCAAAGCAAGGTCTCCGGGCTTCACTGCAGGCTCCACAATGTCTCTACCGTAACTGTTTTCAGAAAGCAAAAGCAGCAAGTCACAAAGATAGATATCCAGCAATTATTTATTTTACAACTTTTCTACGTTTAGGAAAGGGTAAATTACACAAAACCACTTCACTATTTTTTCTAATGATTAAACAGCTATACTTTTTTTTAACGTTTAAAAAAAAGACACCAGTTTTCATGTTACATACAGAAAAAATTACGTCTTTGACCATATTATAGATTTAACTGAATTGTATATATATATATATATATATATATATATATATATATATATATATATATATATATATATATATATAACACTGATACTTACATTATTTTTCGTTGCCCGTTTACAACCTCTAACCGATAAAAGCTGCATCCTTTGCTAAATGGAAAGGGCTTTCCCTTCCATTCTACAATTCTTTACAATGTTAATAACTTCATCTAGAACTAAAATTGGTTAAAAACAAAATATATAATTCAACAGACAGATCTCGACACCTCACAAAAGAATATTTTGATTTAAAAATATATATGTTTGTGGTGATCTCTTTATCAAACATCTTTTTAAATTTTTGTCATTTATAATTTCAATTTATACAAGTTCTAAAAACACGTTCATTTTTATTCAATATCACTTCTGGACACAAGGGCAAAATGGTGACTTATTCTCATTCACCGGTGATAGTCTTTGGCTTTTTGCTAATAAAACATTTACTCCAAAAAGAAATCATTTATCCATACAACATTTAATGGGAAAAAAAATATATACCTAAGTGCCAAGTCACTCCAACAGCTAAAGTATCTTCACCAGATATGTCATCAATGGCAAACTGTAGATCTTGGCTGATAGTGTATATAAACTTCTCAAAAAATTCAAGTATAGCCTGCAAAAATTGATTGGATCTCAAACAATTGCCTTGAAAAGAAAGATATAATTAGATCTATAAATCATGAACATCAATCGATATTTTGGTTTGGATGAATCACTCCATTGGTAAACAAAGTTGGAATATATTGTGGTCAAAACAGGCACTTTAAATGCAAATCTGACAACAATTTACTTGTTAGAAAACACAAGTGCTATGTTCAATAACATTCTATTAGTTCCCTATGGTCATCGATTGACTTTAAATGTTTGAATTGTATTTCTCAAATTTATACTCATTCTTTACACCATTTATTTTTGGGCAAATTCAGGTATAAAGAGGCATTTATTCTAGGAAACATGCTTTAAAAATCACCCCTTAAGGTTAATGTTATAATCTTATATTACTTAGCACGGAAATTGACTTTTTCAATGAGGTACTTATTTAATTATAAAATATAGCATAGGCTAGGTCCGTCAATACTTTCCACAGAAAAATGTATTTAACAGCTATCTTTGTACAAGTGAACTGATAAGATGAACTTCAAATCCAATACACATCAATAGTGATTTGCTTTAATTTGCATACTTAATCTTTAGGTTTTAAGATGGGGGCCTAATTATTATGTAGGTTGCTACAAATGCCATTAAAATTTATTTAACAAAACCAAAATCAAAATGTAAAATTGAAGTTGAAAATCATACAACTTAACCAAAAGATTTTGTCAAAATTGGGGGTTAAGGTAAGATTTTACCTTGCGACCGATAAAAGGTTGGGGGAAAACAAGGTCCTCGTAAACGCAGTCTTCTGCTATGAGATCCACAACCGTCGAAAGGTCGCGGGAGTTAATTCCCTCGTAGAACCTTCTAACAACATCCGAAGCCGAATCTAACGAAGAAGAAGAAACAACAGATGGAGGAGAAGATACCTCTCCTTCAGATAAGTTCGATAAGATTACGGGATTGCTGTCTGTTGGGGTACTCCTAAATGAAAATCGATCAATATATTCACTGTGTGTGCTTTTTCTTCTTCTTCTAGTTGTGAAGTAACTGAAGGTGGAAGATGACGATGACAAGGGAAATGGAGCAATTGAACTTTTCGTTGTTGTTGTTGTGGGGAGGGGTATCATGATGATCATCATTGCCGCCATTTTTGGAGCTGGGATTTGCTCCACAATTTGACAAAATGTTGGTTACACCTTTTTACTCTTTTCGTTTTGTTTGGTCGAGATAGCGGAAAAGTGCGGCAACAAATGAAAGGTGGTGTTATCGCTATGACTAACTATTCTCAATAGTTAAAATATGGAGTAAATTAGACCAATGGTCACCGTGACAAAAGACACATCCAGGCTGTATTTTTAAAAATTAATTTGGATTGTCTTTCCTTAGTTTTGTTTATTAATTTGGATTGGATGTCTTTCCTTAGTTTTAAACATATATGCTTCATCCTTTTAGACATATTTAAAAAAAAAAAAAAAAAAAAAAAAAAAAAAGATCTTTTTACCTTTATTTATTTTCTAACTATTTGTTATTTTGTTAATTAATTATTGATTTTTTATTATAAAATAATTACTATTTCTTTTTAATAAAAAATAGCCCCTAAACACGTTGATAACTCGTCCGATCGTCCCCCACCCCCTTTCTTCTTTGGTGCATCTTTTATCCACCATCACCACCCTACCGCTGACTTCTACAACATCTTCGGCCGACTCCAATATTCCGATCACAAACCAACCCAATCAAAACACTACCGATTGCCTCCCAGAAAACCCTATACTTGTAACGTCCCCAAAATTACAAGGTAAAATTTTCATTTTTAATTCGATCAAAACACTAATTATCTTTTAGCCAAACATTTATTATCCTTTTTCTAATTATCTAAAAGTATTTCATGAGATAACAATTTTTAGAGTACAATCCCAAAATCATCGTAATGCGGAAAATTGGTGGATGCTGTCATACTGCGAAACCAATGGCGGAAACGTTCCAGGGCGAAGGATGTCATGTTAAGTATCATAACCAATGTACATAGTAAGCATAGTAAACACAAAACATTATATTACATATGAATAATTACATTTGTTTGAAAGTAAAGTGATACATGTTTTAACTGTACAATAGTTTGAACAAAAGTAAAGACGGGTCTTCTAAAACGCTCCATCTTCTCCAAAAGATTTTGGATACCTGTCTAACGTGGACCAGAGAATACAAGCAATTTGAAAATCAGCATAAAGTTGGTGAGTTCATAAGCTATTTGTTTATGTAAAAAGATCATGTTTCCTTTGGTTGTTCTGAAAAGTTGTTATTCAAGAAAATCCCATATTTTCTAACATGTTTGTCGATTTCCATAAGAGAGATCCTGATTATCACCAGTACGATAAGAAAACCATAAGTTGAGATCATTGGACTACCATCCAGAACGAAAGTAGGTAGTCTTATTACATAAATAAGACTATAGAAGAAGGAAAGGAAATAAATCTGTGAATAAAACTATTTAGTTTAATACGTATTTGTGAGTCGGATAACCATGCTAATATGACACGAGACCTCCTTGACGTTCTTCAGGCGTCGGACGATATCCAGAATTTGTCACCCCAGGCGTGCCCGCTTAACTGTAGCTAGCAGTTAAGGTGTGGGATTGTCAGTCCCGAATAGATCTATTTACAAATTTCACGCTCTCCCTCCAGGAGACTCTGGTTATACTTCCGGGGAGGATTTACTGATGACTCGCAGGGTTTAATGAAGATAAATCTCACAAGCTAGTATTAAATTATTCACGGTGTACTCGGTCGTTATCAAACATCGTAGTCGTTTTGAAACATAATACAGTAAAAACAGTTTAATACAATGAAATTATCTGACATTATACTCTAAATTAAACAGAGATAAACTAAATCAAACATAGTTTGTCAATTAACTTTGCATGAAATCTGTGTCCGTAAAACAAGAACTGAAGATCCTAAATTATTCCCATAATAATTTGATTGGTTTGATTGTTTCCTTTACTATAATTGAAAACCATGTAGTTATATTCGATACAACATCCCTTATGCTCCGCATAATACATAAGGGGTAAAGATATCTAAAAGTTTGTCAGATATTTATAGAATTTCATCAGTTTTAAGTTTCGAAAACATTTATAATTTGCTTGTATTCCCCCCTCAAAACATTGAAAACATGGAAAAACATAGGGGTATGAACTCACCAGTCGAGAAGTGTGTCGGTTGGATGCTAAGTGTCAGTTCGGGGCTTGAGAGCGCGCGAGGTTCCTATGTAATATGAAGAGATACATAAATTGTATCTAATTAGACTTTGATTTACTAATTAACATGAATTAACACTTTGAGGGACGAAAACACTTCAATTCAAGTGTTAGGAGTGACCCGGGTAGCATCTAAAGGTGTATATGGATTGAATATGGAGTTTGCTCTTCAAGAGTAAACTTGTAACATCCCGGAATCGCAAGAGTAGAGTCGAAGGGCTAAAAGTGTAAGTTTTAGAGGGTGACTCGGCGAGTCCATGGATAGACTCGGCGAGTCAGGTCGCGGCTATGGTCGCGTGTCAAGTGGCCTACTCGGCAAGTCCAAAGATGGACTCGGCGAGTAGGTGCTGTATGAAGAAAACCCTAATTTTCGGGGTTGAGCCCTATATAAAGAGCATTATACCCCTCCACAGCCTCCCTTATTCCCCCCTCCCCCTTGAGTTCTAGAAACCCTAAGTTCGTGGAGAGTTCATTTGTGGAGCAAATTAGAGCTTGGAGAGGTGTTGTTTGAAGAGATCTTGAAGGAGAAAGGGCTTGGATCAAAGGGCTTTGCTTGGATTCGAGTTTGGTTGCTATTGAGACATCTTTTGGAGGTAATACTTTCGTTCTTGGGATGTATCTTCCTAGTTTGTCATTTTGGGGTTGTGTGGGGTGCTTGGTTGTGTGACATTTTGATGTTGGAGGATGGATCTGAGGTTGCTACCTCAGATCTGGAGTGGAGAAGACCTTAAGAGCATTAAAGCCCCTGTTCTTGTGTTGTTAAGGAAGCTACCATGTCCCAAACCTTGGTTTTAAGGTGAATATGGCTTAGATCTCGTTAGATTCACGTAAAGTTTGCCACTTTACATGATGGATGGATTGTAGGAGGTTGGATCTATGCTTTGGATCAATTGCATGGCCTGAGATGCTTCTATATGGATTCAGACCAGTGGTACTCGACAAGTCACATGGGTGGATTCGACGAGTTGCTTGAAGATGGCCTGGAACTCGACGAGTTTGAAGAACAACTCGGCGAGTCTTGTCGAGGAAGTCCCAATATTTCTGGTTGAGTCGATGAATCGGCGAGTCTTGGGGTGACTCGGCGAGTTGGGTCGCTGATTGAAGGAAGTTCTGAGCATATGGACTCGGCGAGTCATCGGGTTGACTCGGCGAGTAGGGTCAGTCGGGGGTTGGCTTTGACTTGTCCAAGGTTGACCAGTTGTCTTCCAGGGGTATTTTGGTAATTAAGGGTATTTATTGGGTTGTATGTTTTGATGTTCAGTGGAGGAGTTCGTGTCAGAGTTCGGAGCAGCGGGATCTTATCTTTTTAGCCGACAGTTTCGAGGTGAATTATCCTCACTATATCAACAGGGTCTAAGGCACCAAGGCCGGCCCTTTATTGGATTGAGATTCGGATATGGTTATGATGTTATCGTTTGATGTGTCTGCATCCTGGTAGTTAGGATGGTACATGCTAGGAGACCTTGTTAAGGTTAGTTTCCCGATATACAGAGTGATGCTATGCTAGTGGCCGGTTAGGTCGGTAACCCGGTTAGGGTAATGATATGCTATGTGATCTGCTTGCTCGGTTTGTTGAATATGACTGTTATATGATTGTATGTTTTGTGCACATGGTTGTTTGGACTGAAGATGGGTTGAGGTGGGTCCTGCTTTGTGCTGTAGGCCAAGATACCCAGGGCGGACCGGTTATTCTGAAGGCCCAGCGAGCGGTCCGGATAGGCTGTAGGCCCCTCGAGGGCGGACCAGACGTGCCGAGGCTCGGAGAGTGGACCAGGCCGACTGAAGGCCCGATGCGGGCGGACCAGTCACACTGTAGACTCAGAGAGTGGACCAGGTGGGTTGAAGGCCCGATGCGGGCGGACCAACCCCACTGTAGACTCGAAGGACATGACTAGACCTGGAGGATGGATCCGATGGACTGAAGGCCCGATACGGCGGACCAGTCACACCGTAGACCCGATATGCATGGCTGTTCTATGTTCTGTTATGTTATGTATGTTTTATATGTTTTGGACCGGAAGGTCACAGCCTGGAAGGGCGTATACGTGGTTGGTATTTTGGGGGTATCTCACTAAGCTTTCGGGCTTACAGTTGTGGTTTAATGTTTTTCAGGTTCTTCCGGAGACTGTGGCAAGGCGAAGGCGCGATCGTACCGCTCCTCATGATTTTGTAGCAATGTGATTCTGGGAATACTCTAATGATTTGTATTGAAAACCTTTTTGTAATCATTTTAATGAAAATCGGGTTGTTTGAAAAATTTAAATTTGGTTGTATTTTTCGGACGTTACAAGTTAAAGTGGGTTAGATCTGATCCCACATCGGCTGGGAAGGAGAACTAAGCATTCCTTATAAGGGGTGTGGATACCTTCCCTATCACAACGCGTTTACAGCCCAATGACCAACTCCCCATGAGTTTACAGCCGTAAACTCATGGTGGGGGGGGGGGTGTTCTTGGTTGCTTAATGGTCTTATAACTCTTGTGGGATGATATTAGGCTTAGTTTTAAGGCATTGGAATGGAATTTGAACATCATAAGGACCCATTTCAGGAGTTTACGGCAGTAAACTAGGAGTTTACGGCCGTAAACTCTTATGTACCCATCCTTAATGTGTTTTGGTGGTCCTAGGTTAATTACAATGCACAAAGGAAGGTTCTAGGTTGATTCCATGGCTTAGGAAGTGATTAGGACTTGAATTGACCTTGGAAACGGAGTTTACGGTCTATGAAGATGTTCTTGGTGAGTTTAATACCTTAAACACATGAGTTTACGATAGTAAACTCATGTTTTTCCATGATTCATGTGATTTGGTGGTTGAAGGTTAAGCATGCTAAGTTCTAGACCCAATTCTAAGCCATACAAGGTGTTAAGGGCACTTTAACACCCATTGGAGGAGTTTAAGGTCTAAGAAGAGGTGTTTACGGTCCAAGAATGTTCTTGGGCCATAAACTCAAGTTTGACCCATTTGTATATGTTTTGGTGCATCTCTTGAAGGATTATAAGGTTCTATACTCTCATGGAAGATGTTGGAGGTGTTCAGGGGGCAAACTAACACCTTAAAAGGTGTTTATGGTCCATGAATGAGGGTTTACGGTCCAAGCATGTTCTTGGGCCATAAACTCAAG